CAAAATGCCGCACGGGCCAAAGGCAGCAAAGAATTGGAGCTTAGTGCCAGCCACGTGGCATTCCTGGGGCAGCTTTCCCCATGGCAACATTGGCCAAGGCGAAAGTTTAGGACGCGCTCGTCACAGGCGAACATCAGCAGCAGCAACAGCAGCAATAGCAACGGCATTTCTATTGTCAATCCGGAAGTGGGCTCCGGCATTTACTTCCGGTCTGGCAGCTGCCGCTCGCTCTGGCCGCCTGGTAAATGAAAATGCAGCAGTTCCGCATGTGTGGCAACATTGGCGCTTGCCACAAGGCATGCCCAAATGCGCCGCGCTTCGAATGCGGGCGTGGTTAATGGCAGCTATTGATCCACTGCAGCTCCCTCATGCGGCGTGCAGCAAGTGACACGAGCCCGCTGCAGCAGCAGCAGCATAAACAAATTACGCATACGCCGCTTGAACCGGCCAAACATCTTAAACTGAAGCCGCACTCCACAGCCAGCGCACTGGCCGAGTTGAAAGCGTGCCAACAAAATGGCGGCCGCTTCTTAAAGTGCCAACTTGTGGCTTTAACCGAACAGGTGCGCAGCGTCAGGGAAAGGCGTCACAGCTTTTGCAAAGCCGAATGAATTTCATATGAAAAACATATAAAAAGAAAAGGGATAAAGAAATGATTATGTTTAGGGTTGATTGCGTGGCAAATACCCTGTGCATGAGATGGGAGATGGTTTTAGATAAGCATAATACATAGTACTTATATCTAATACCTTGTCATTATAGGGTAGCTATGAGGCATGTATATATTCAATATTGAATTCTAATGAAGAACTTTACATTCGATTATGGAACATTAATTTTAAAGAAACGGAAATTTCATTGTAAGACCTTTTCAATAAAGATATAATGTGTCGCTGTTCGCTATAATTATTTGTTCTCAATTATCTGAGATAAACACCGAGTGTTGCATTGAAAATACTATAGGCTATTTATGTCTATCTCTATCATAAATATATACTATAATATGATAAAATTGGATTTTACTTTTTTTTTTTATATACTTCAGCATATTTCATACAAATGTTTTTTGCTTATAATATATGGCTTAAAAATTAATTTAAATTATCTGTATCTCAATTAGCATTAGCAACAGAAGAGTTAGTTATAGCTCTAGCCATTATAATCCTCAATTTGCATATCAAACATAGACACACACATGTGCATATACCCCTTGCTATACGCCAATTACACAGGGTATAAAAGAGGAGCTACACACATGTCACTTGAGCACATGCACACACACATGTCAGAGACAAGTTGGTTTTTAAAAAATACTTTCGAGTTGAGCCAAGCAGGCAAACAGCTCCAGCTGCCAGCTTACAGCCAGGGTATGCAAAGTGAAAGGGAGAGAGAGAGAGAGAGAATGGGAGAACGTTAACGAGAGAGAGCTGAAGAAAAAAAAAGAAGAAGCTAATGGTATTTGGCATTTATATTGGCCAGCACTTGTCTGTGACTTTTATGGGCACATTTGGCACATCATTAAAACGTCAAGTCATCAATCTTCTTACACATTCGAACAGGCTCGCAGGCAAGGCCAAGTCAAAGCTTGCAGCTAAGCAAAGTTTGCGCCGAGTTTCGGGCCCAGAGCGTGGCCTAAAAGCCTGGCCGCCAGCTGGCCTAAACGCCATTAGAAAATTTCCATTTTCGTCACACGGTGTCAGGGCCACAGTGATACGAACAGCTGCTGCTGCTGCTGCTCTCTAATGCTGGTGATGCTGCTCCGCCTCCTGCTGCTGCTGCTGCTGTTGCTGCTGCTGTGGCACGTACTGTTAGCCGCATTCCAATCACCCGCTGCTGCATGCTTGGCGCCTGTGCCGCAGATATTTGCCTTGAAATGTTAGAAAAACGAATTCCAAACAAAACTGCGCGTTGCTTAGACGCCGCTTAGAATGCGTCAACGTCGACGTCTATTGGCCATAAATTTCGCATTTTAATGCGAAAACAGTCAACTTGGCGACGTCGATTTGCAGCAGGCGAGCAGAGAACAGCAGCGAGTAGCACCAGCAGCAGCAGCACCCACAGGATACTCGTGTCCTGGCATGCGCAGTAGACGAGCGTGGGCGTTGCCGGTGAATACGCCCACACACACACGGCCCCACACACACGCCCATGTGCACGCCCCCTAGACGGCATTCATAACTGGTCCATCTGGATCCGACTTACTGCCCAACTTTGGTTGCCTAATACCCCTACGATAATGATAAGAAATTCTTGTGCGCATGGCAATGCCTTTCACGCACACAGGGACGACGCGGCGCCTGCTATTATGTATGCCCGTGTATCTATGTATACTCGCTCAGATATATACTATATTATCAGCGCTGTCTGCTATTTTGGCGCCAAAAACGTTCCTATGCGTGGGCGTACTTTATTAACGGAGAAAAAGAAATATTGTAGATTCAGCTAGCAGGCGAACAGAAGGAAACGGCACGTGGCCAGGACATGCCGGAGACACAGCGCGAACACAGAGACAGCAGCAGCTCTGCGCAGCTGCAGAGAGCGGGAGAGAGAGAGAGAGAGAGACCACGGTCGAAAGTCTGAAGTAGTTGGCAATCAGCTGCAGAGGCACAAGGCACAGTGGACAGAGACACTCTCAGCCTCAGAATGTCTATAATATAACTGAACAAATTGATGAAAAGATTAATATTATTATTCAAAATTGTTTTTTTTTTTTTTTTTTTTTTTTTTTATTTTTTTTTTTTTTTTTTTTTTTTTTT